TGAAATGGGTAACATGAAGAAGAAGACTATATTTATAGTCTAGGGTTTTTCAAAAGAGGAAAAAAGCTCAAATAGAATATTATGAGCCCTCTTCAAAATAAAGTGGTCAAATAGAAAATTATGGGCCCTCTTCAAAATAAAGTGGTCAAATAGAAAGTTATAAATCTTTCTCAAAACAAAAGGGCCAAACAGAATATTATGGGCCTTCTTTAAAATAAAGTGGAAAAGACTTGAAAAAAAAAAAATGTAATCAATGCCTCCTTCTCCAAGTCTCCTTGGACATGGGGCATTGGGGGGCAAATGATGGGTTAAGCCCGAATAGTCCAATTTATGTGTTAAAGTCCAACCCCAGTTGAGGAGCCCAACCTCATTTTGATTCCACCAAGCCCAAGACAGTTCGAGACCGGTTAGACTTCTTGCTTAGCACGTCATCAAGAGGAGAGCACGGGAAGCTTATCTGCACCACCAAAGGAAACGGTCCAAATCCACCAAGTCCAAGACCGGTTAGACTTCTTGCTTAGCACGTCATCAAGAGAAGAGCACGGGAAGCTTATCTGCACCACCGAAGGAAACGGTCCTATCTTTGACCACGTTTCATGAAGAGCTCCCCAACCTCCTCCTTCCGTTGAGGATAAGTCGTGATCTCCACCAAGAATAATCTTTTAGCTGCGATAAAGAAGCCTTGAGGATATGTCATGATCTCCACGAGGATGATCTATTAGCTGCTATAAAATAGCTCCAATCTGGTAGAAGAGAGAGATCACGCCCCACCAGAGACTTACAGAAGACGAACCGACTACCGGAGATTACTATTTTCTTTGATTCTCCATTCTCTCTCTCAAAGCTTGTATCTCTATTCTCCATACCTTTGAATCAATAAAATACCCGGCAACTGAAGCCATTGAAGAGTGGACGTAGGTCGAATTGACCGAACCACTATAAATTGTGTCTTCTTTTATTTTTTCATTGATTTCATTGCATTTATTATCTACACTTGACAGGTGGTGTGCAAAACCATTTTTGTGCATCATCAAGTGGCATTTCCGTTTTTCTCACTTTAATTTCGGTGCAGAGTTAGCTTTCTTATAGCTCTGTTTGGTTAGAAAGAAGTTGATGATGAAAAATGAAAAATAAAAAATAAAAAAATAGAAAGTGAAGTGAATAAAAGAAATGGAAAAAAAAAATTATTTTCTTGTATACGTTTGATTAGAATAAAAAGTTTGCTTGAAAAATATAAAAAAATTGGTGCAACGAGTAAATTATCCTTATAATATCAATCTAATATGGAAAAGAGTAAGTGGGCAAAACAAAAAGAAATACTTTTTAGATAATCAAACATATGAAAATTTAATATTTTTTATTTTCCAACACTTTCCAGTGTTTTGACGCTATCCAAAGGAAGCCTAAGTTTCCATTGCCACAAGTGACATAATTGGAAGTGGCCACCCAAAAGCCTCTCTAATCATCGGTTTGCCACACAGACTACCGTAAAGAATAGGACTTGTCTACGGTTGCACTTAACCCCTTGTGTTTTTATAATACATACTTCACCCCCTTATATTTTTGGATTTATTTGCTCTTGTCACCTTTTCATCCGAATAAACAGATCGTAATCTACACGCGCTAAATGCACGATTGGGCATAGGAAAATGATATTTCCCTCAAAAATGTTATTGTTTAAAGGATAATAATGCCATTCCAACCATGTATTTAAGCTTTGGAGTAAATACATGTAGTATCATATGCCTTTCTCCCTCCCTCCCCTTCAAAGATTATCTCCTCCACCCATATGTATTATCACTGAGATATTAGAAAAATTAAAAAACTAAAATTTAAGAACAATATATAGTATAATAATAAAAAATTGATTAACTTATAATGAACACTATAATCGATATTCAAATTAAAATAGAGACGAGTTCTCATAAAAAAATAAAAGTCAAATGAAAGTCAATTGTAAGAACTTTTACTTGTAAAAATTCATAAATAATAATATTAAGTTATTCTAGAGAAAGCCTTAATACAATAAAAAAATAAACAATTGAAATAAAAAAATTATAAAGTGAGTACAAGTAAAAAATATATGTATAATTTTTAAAATATATAAATATAGGTATACATATAATATTGTTTTGAAAAAATTGAGGGTTATTTCATATATACACACACACACACACACAAATATATGAAGACACAAATATTTATTTATTTATTTTTTTGTTCAGTTGTATGAAATTGGGTCAATCTTGAAAGAATTTGTGTTAACTTGCATGCAGTTGGGTTGAATTTATCTTGAAATGATTTTTTGTTTGTTCTTCTAATAAGAATAATGAATGAACTGTTCAGCATTTGTTAAATATATATAAAGGGTATCATGGTCATTTTACATTTTTTTGTTAACTGCGTCATCTGTTCAAATAAGTCCAAAAACATGAGGGAGTGAAGTGCCTATTATAAAAACACAAGGGATAAAGTGCAACTGTCCCAAACTACAACGGGGTAAAAAGGATTTTACCCTTTATTATATTTGTTAATATTTTTATCACTGTCGTGGTATCAAATAAAATGATAAAAATAGTTATCACAATAATAATAAAAATACCCACAAATATTTTAAATTACCCATAAAATTAATAATTTTTTTTATACAAAAAAAAGCCAAAAAAATAGTTACCACAACAATGCTAAAAATACCCACAAAAATAGTAAATTTTTTAGTTGTAAAATTACTCACAAAAGTTATAAAAACACCTATTAAAGGAGTAAAATTTAGAGGTATGATAAAATTTGGGCATATTTAGGTAGTTATTGTATATTACATGGAGGGGTATTTGACGGTGATACCATGTGATAATCCTAACGTTTTGTTAATGTTACATTGAATATTTTTTCTCTCTTAAGTCTACGCTGTCGACAATTTTGAAGCAAAAACCAATGTTAGATTTTCTGATTTCTCTTGGCCTGCAAATCGGTAAGCAAATTCATTTGTTTTGTCTAGTTGAAGTTGTGCTCAACTTTGTTCTTCCCATCAGTAGATTTGACTTATTTCAGCAAGTAAATTATATGATTTTGAAAGCCGGCCTTTTCGTTAAGCTCGGTGAACTAAAACTCATATTCTCATCTATTGTTGGTCTCTCCAATGCATTTTTTTCCCTATAAATAGTCATCTAGAGAATTCACCAATTCAAGGGAAAAACTGGGTCATTTGCTTCTGGTAAAATAAATAGATCATCATGGCTCAGTTTAACAGCAAAGCATCCAAGTTCTTTTACTTGGTTCTAATACTCACTCTTCTTTTCATGGTTTCTATGGCCGAGAGCAGACAACTTGGCAGTAAGTTCTAACTTCGACTGTCATTAAGCTTGTCATCTTGTCTTATATTTGGCCCATATTTAGTGTAGTTATCCGAATTCATGTTCTATCAAATTCGTGTCGTGTATAACTTGTATTTAGCAAGTTCGAGTCGTTTTTAGTTAGATTCATGTTCATCTGTTTATTACACAAACCTGTTAATTCCATTTCGATTTCATGTCAATGCCAAATCTAAACTTACCATAGACAAGAAAAGTCCATAATTTACACACTAAAAATAAATGTCTATGATTTTCTAGAAACCCCCCCCCCCCCTCCTCCCTCTTCCCAATTTTCAATATTTTCACATTGACAATTTCTCAATAACCTTCTTGTGACAATGCAGTTGGGTTTGGGAAGGCAAAATCAACTCCAGTTTGCAACTCGGTGTACGGTGCAGAAGATGGTGATACTTGCAACATTGTTGCTGAGAAGTTCGAATTGTCGGACGACTTCTTCCTTGAGATCAATCCTAATATCAACTGTAATACCATTTTCGTGGGTCAATGGCTTTGCACCGATGGGTCAGCGAATTGAAGTGCTGAAGTTTTCGTATTCGCGCAATAAAAATCTGCATAGACAAAGAGAAGAAGTCTCATTGTCTTGATGTACTATTTCCTTTTATTTTCTCACTTACCATTGTTCAATGGCAGCATAATAAGATGGAGTGCATCCTTAGTCTCCACTTTCTTAACAAATGACTAATCTGTTGTCACTGTGAACACCAAAAGCTTTGAAAATGGGTGACAATCGAGTCCTATTGGACCCAGTTCAGGTTGTGCAAGCCTATTCTAACTTAACATGTTTAATTAGTCATACCAGAAGTTTTGACAATAATTTGGACCTTTTAATACTATAGTGTATTTAAGTTGGCCTATATAACAAGTAAATAAAAAATCAATGCTAAAACCCCATTATTTCTTAACCAAATTAACTCACTACTTCTAGTTTATTCATGAACTAAAGAAGCTTTGCACGAACCAGGTATTCTTCAAATACTATAGTAGCTTTCTCATGCGTCCCAAATCCGTCTGAAGAGGGAAGGAGTGGCTGCAAGAGTTTCTCCTTTGGTTTCAAAGAACCTAAATTAGTGTCCCCATATCGGTTGGATCTATTAACCCATGTGGGTATTTTACAAGTCCGGGTTGGTAAATGATCCGACTCAATTTACAATAGACTCAACATTGTCGCCTAATATTATTATTTAATAATAAAACACCAAATTGGCACATCTCGAATAAATTGGAATCGAATATCTGTATGTTTGTACTTATCATGATACTTGGGATCCTTTGCTTACACCAAGGCTGATGTATTATAGCTATAGAGTAGTCAGCCTCCTCTACATGGGCAATAATGCTCTCCTTCGCCAGACAGCTACTTGAACAGCAGTCGAATAAGCCACATACTCTCAACTCCATCGTAGAGAAGGCAATGCATGCCTACTTCTTGTTGTACCAAGAAATATAAATTCACACTTTGCCCAACCTGCATCCTTGTATTCTCTAAGCTTCTAGTCTCAACCATGATAACATAGGACTAAATACGTAGTCTTATGTAGGTATCAAAGAATCCTCTTCACTGTTTTCCAGTAAGGGGGTCCAAGGTTGCCCTGATAATGACCAGCCCAAATCCACAGGACCACAGCAATGTCTGATCGAGTATATGACATAGTGTACATCAGACTCTTTGTCGCAGATGAATATGCCGCATCGGACAGTTGACTCTTTTCTCCTTCATTCTTCGGACATTAATCTAGGGTCAAGGCACCCCCTTTCTCCATGAGGGTGTCTATGAGATTGGAGTGTTTCGAACATTAAGACATTAATTTACAGCTGCAATAAGTTGTAGTGTTTCGAAATTTTGTTCAACTTATATCCAACTTATTTATAATGATACATAGCTAGATTCGTATTGTGTCATAATATGTTTAACTAGTTCGTGTCGATTCATTTATTTGACCGGTCTAACGTATCCATCCATTATTATCTAAATCCACTAAAGTTAAACTCAAACCTACTAATTTCGTGTCTAGAATAGCTAGATCTAGTTCTGGTTATGAACCAGCAAAGTTGATAGTTGAAGTCTTGAATAAAATTGCAAAAAAAAAAAAAAAAATAGTTGATATGACCGAAAATAAATGTATAATATTTTCTAGTTTCCCTCATGTTTCATGTCTTTATATTGACAATTTCTCAATAATCTTGTGATAATGCAGTTGGGATCGGAAAGACAGAATCAACTCCAGTTTGCAACTCGGTGTACGGTGCAGAAGATGGTGATACTTGCATTAGTGTTGCTCAGAAATTCAACTTGTCATCCGACTTCTTCCTTAAGATCAATCCTAATATCAACCGTGATACCATTTTCGTGGGTCAATGGCTTTGCACTGATGGGTCGGCGAATTGAACTGCTGAAGTCTTCATATTCACGCAACAAGAACCTTCATAAACAAAGAGAACAAGTCTTTGTCTAATTCGATATAGTATTCCCTCCCTTTTATTATCTCAGTTGCCATTGTTCAATGGCCATAATAAATTGCAATGCATAGAGTATGCATGTGTAGGACTCGATCTTGGTACTAGTCCACAACAATCAAAGTCGAATCGTGAGCCTATTAGTGAAGACTTGTGTTTTGGTTGTATCATTTCAAGTCCGTGTTGAGTATTAATTCATCCTAATTTAACTCATTTAATTAATCATATTAACTTGTTTGTTACTGTCATATTCGAGTTAACTCACATAACTCGTGAAAAAAAAAATTCAAGGCTAAAATCCAAGTGTTATGCATCAGTTCAACCAGAAAAGAATAAAAGAAATGAATTTTAGTCTAGCTGATCAAGTGCCTAACTTGAACTTCAGCTTAGTTGCTCTCACAGCGCCACTTGAAATCTCACATGTGGCTTTTATGTAGGCTGCATAGAGTTACGGAGATGCTCTATGATCCACCTTTAAAAGGTGTTGTCTTAGCTCCAACTGAGACGACATTTAATTGTTACATATACGTTGTCATGTTGGCCTTTCGAGCACCAAAGACATAAACATTTGGTCATCTTTGCTAATTTTTGTGCAAAGTCATAATTGTTTGATTTTTCTCACTATCTCAGCACTAAGTAGAATCGTCCATGTGAGAGAATTGCTTCAAACCTAGTGACAGATTTCACATAAAGGTGTAAAACAATAATCATCCAACAACAAATATGAAGAATGATTATTGTTAATGTGAATAATAAAAAGATGTCCAATACACATCAAATGTATGAGGAAATGTATGTTTGCTTTTTCCTACACCAAGAAACAACTCTACTGTGGAATGTAAAATGTATAACTCATAGACTTACGTTCAACTTTATCACTTGTCTAATTTACGTTGTTAAGTTTTCTCATCAAGACTCTACCATGACAACATTGGACTAAGTCTGTAGTTCCACAAGGCATTGAAGAATCCTTTTTACTACTTTCCAGTGAACAGATCCAGGGTTGCCCTGAAAACAACTGACCACCCCAACTGCATAGCAGATGTCTAGTTGAGTACATAAAACAGCGCACACTGAATCCCTACCCCCAAAGCAAATGACAGTTTGGACATTTGACTCTCTTTTTCTTCACTGTTAGGGTAATGATCCAAAGGCACACCCTTTCTCCATGAGTGTGTGTATGCTGTTTGAAGTGATGCACAAAAAATCGTTCAATGGTCTGTTTAAAATAAGTATTTTGAGACAAACCGAGTAGTTTCTTTGAATGATTTCTTATGATTTAACTCCAAGCACATAATTTGTTTCACCGTCTCCTTGCCTCAATAAGAAGATGACAATCACTTCTTAGTAGTGAAAATGGAGTCCAAATCATATTGCAACTCTTGCAACCCAAAAAATGTTGTCAACATACAAAGAAAGGATAATATCACCTTGTTTGGATCACCTTGAACAAGTTATTTGGAGCAACTTTGGGGTTAAATAAAAGTAGGACCAACACTTCAAAATAGGTGAGACCATGTTTAAACGTGTTCTTCTCATCAAGGAGATTGACGTGGTATATTTACTTTTTTAAAACTATTAAATATTGAATGAAAATTTGTTTCTCAAAATGATCCACTTGAATGGATGAAAGTCTTAATTTTTGTAACACAAAATTCGATTTCCTAAGAAAATTTTTCTCAAGAATTTTTTTTTGCCAATTATAGTCTTAATTTTTGTGGTTGATTAATATAAATGGTAGGGAAAAATTGATGAATAAGTGAAATTGGAGTTCAATTGCCGACAAAAATTTTATTGGTGAAAGTGTGATATTTTCTAGTTAAATATATATATTTTTTAAATAATAACATTTCTGTGGAATTAAACTACTTGGGACTTCATAAATAAATAAAAATTTTAATTAAAAATCATCAAAAATAGTGCACAATACTTCATTCTCAATTGCTACACTACTACAAAAATACCCTCAAAATAGAAAAAGTGAAAAAATAATGCACAAGAAGGGAATTTCACGAAACTTGGACGGTAGTCCTTCAACAGTAATAGTGGCATTTCTGTTTTTCCGACTTTAATTTTGGTGTAGAGTTAGCTTTCTTAAGTTTCCAATGCCACTAGTAACATAATTGGAAGAGGCCGCCCAAAAGTCGCTAACCATCGGTCTGCCATGCAAACTACCATGCAGAAGAACTTATGGTCCAAAATTACTTCCCAAAGTCAAACAAAAAGTTTACAACAGCCTCGACAAGATTACAAAATTAGTAAGAATATTCACGTAATATCACTATTTAATAATAAAATATTAAATAAAAATATATATTTAGCTTAGATAAAGGGGGAGTAGGTAGTTATTTTGTATTATCCGGAGGGGTAATTACTATTCATTCATTGATTTGTGTGAGATTCTACTAATTTATTTGTTAACATATTATGAGACGGTAATACTAGACAATGCTTAACATTTTATCAACGTTGCATTGAATATTTTCTCCTCTCTTAGGCCTGCGCTGTTGACAATTTTGAAGTAAAAACCAATGTTAGATTTTCTGATTTCACTTGGCCTGCAAATCCATAAGAAAATTCAATTGTTTTGTCGAGTTGAAGTTGTGCTCAACTTTGTTCTTCCCACCAGTAGTTTTGAATTATCACAGCAAGTAAATTATATTGAAAGCCGGCCTGTTCGTTAAGCTCAGTGAACTAAAACTCATATTCTCGTATATTGTTGGTCTCTCCAATGCATTTTGCCCCCTATAAATAGTCATCTAGAGAATTCACCATTCAAGGGAAAAAGTGAGTCCTTTGCTTCTGGTAAAATAATAGATCATCATGGCTCAGTTTAACAGCAAAGCATCCAAGTTCTTTAACTTGGTTCTAATACTCTCTCTTCTTTTCATGGTTTCCATGGCAGAGAGCAGACAACTTGGCAGTACGTTCTAACTTCGACTGTCATTAGCTTGTCATCTTGTCTTATAATTGGTCCATTTTTAGTGTTTTTTATTCGAGTTTATGTTGTAGTGTATAAATTGTGTTTAGCAGGTTCAAGTTGTTTTTAGCTAGATTCGTGTTTATTTGTTTACTTTACGAAACTAAAAGATTCATTTTTTTATCATTCAAACTTGTTAATTTTGTTCCGATCTCGTGTCAGTGTCAAATCTAAACTAGTCATGCACAAGAAAAGTTCATAATTTACACTCTAAAAAATAAATGTCTATGATTTTCTACCCCCCTCCTCTTCCCAATTTGCAATATTTTCACATTGACAATTTCTCAATAACCTTGTGACAATGCAGTTGGGTTTGGGAAGGCAAAAGCGACTCCAGTTTGCAACTCGGTGTACGGTGCAGAAGATGGTGATACTTGCATCAGTGTTGCTCAGAAGTTCAAATTGTCAGACGACTTCTTCCTTAAGATCAATCCTAATATCAACTGTGATACCATTTTCGTGGGTCAATGGCTTTGCACTGATGGGTCGGCGAATTGAACTGCTGAAGTCTTCATATTCACGCAACAAGAACCGTCATAAACAAAGAGAACAAGCCTCTGTCTAATTCGATGTAGTGTTCCCTTTTATTATCTCACTTGCCATTGTTCAATGGCCATAATAAATTGCAATGCATCCTTAATCTCTACTTTCTTAACAAATGGCTAATTTCTTAACATCATATTTTTCCAACAAAAAACACGAGATGAATCGAGGTGACAATCAAGTTCTGTTGGGTCGTGTTTTGATTGTATAGTTTCAAGTTAGTGTTAAGTACTAATTCATTTTAATTCAATCCATTTAATTAATTATATTGGCCTGTTTTTTCAAGGCCGACCCAACAGCATGAAAAATAAAACATGGACTTTATGACCCAAATTTTTAGAAACCTCTATAATTTTAGGTACATTACTATTTTATTTATATTACTTGTTTACCTTTTTTTAAATAATGCCTAATTGTCTGATCAAAAAACAAATAAATAAATAAATAATGCATAATTGATTGACCATTTATTTTTTAATCAAATATGTAAAAATTTGATAAAATTTTACCATTCATTTGAATTTTGAATATTTATTCTTATTCTCTCACTCATTCTCTATCTCTCTCCTTATTTTCTCTCATCGTTACTCTCTCTCCCCTCCTTTCTCCGTTACTCTCTCACTCTCTCTCCCTTTCCGTTACTCTTTTATGTTTCGTTTGGTATGATGGAAAATAGAGTGATGAAAAGTTGGAGAGATAAATAAAACATCATGTTTTGTAAGAAAGAAAATAGGAACGATGAAAAAGTGGATGAATTAACTTTCCTTCCAACTCACCAAAATTAATCCCTCCAAAATCGAAAGGAAAGTGAATGGAAAGTTAATTATTTGTGTTGAGATGTATCTTATTTGTCTATATATCTTATGTATATATTAATTTCATATAAAAATATAATGATAAAATATGTATTTATATAATTTTTTTTTAAAAATAAAAATAAAAATTTTAAATTAAAAAAAATATTTTTTCATGTTAACTAAAGGTGAAAATTTTCCACTCAACACGACGACACGATTCGAACTCAACACGAGTTTTATAACACAAACTTGATTATAAATCGACACGAACTTGAAAATGACCTGACACGCGAACAAAAAATATAAAAAGCTTATAATTTTATGACTCAACACTGACACGACACGACTCGATTTTCACCCCTAATATTAGACAAAAAAAATTAAAAAAAAATTAGTCATTTTTATTTTTTATTCATCCAACCAAATACAAAAGAAGGAAAGTGTATCATTCCTATTTTCCATCCTTGAATAATAGAAAATGTATCCCTCATACTTTCTATCCTTCGTACCAAGCGGGACATTATTCTCTCCCCTCTTTTCTCTCTCTCTGTGTACAGAGACACCCCAACAAAAGAGGTTTGGCCTTGACTTTGAGTAGCATTTCAGCAAACACCAAACTCCCAAACTCGACGAGAAACAAACTTTTTAATTGATTATTGTGGTTAAGTCGTTTTTCACATTACCTTCCTCAAATTTAAAAATAGGCACATAAACCCCTTGTGGTTTGTGGACCAAAGTGCCCTGTTACACTTTCCATCCAAATTAACCGTTTGAGAAAGTCATGCGCCTAAGGTGCCAGTGGGTATGCAACTAATTTTTTTAAAAGACAAAATTACCCTTCACTTTACCTTCCTATTTTCTCTCATCTCTCTGTGTTTCTCATTGTCAGTGATGATCCAAGAGCCCCACCCACCACCACATCGGCAACCTCTCCATCCCAACAGCTACTATCAGCCACAACTTTTCAATAAAGTACAAATCAATTCAAACCCAAAAACACTAAGACAAGAACCAGTAGATTCGGCAAAAGCTAGTGGAATCGACAAGAACTAGTGGATTCGGCATCCCCTCCATTCTCCCTTATGGGTATGTAGAAACTAATTAGGTCACCAAAAAAACACAAGAAATAGACCCAAAGCAAATAAAAAATAGTGGCTAAATTTTTTGTTATAGAGTATCTCATAAATTGCAACGCAAATCAAGCATAAACATAGATAGAAAAAATATATTGCATATGCCACATAATTTCACTTCAAAACACCTATATATTTCATCAAAAGTTGAGTACAATAAAAACTAAAAATAAAGGAGAAGCTTATCTTATTTTCAGCAAGAATGGCACACAAAAACCAGCTCGTAAATCGACGAATAAAGCTTCGGCTTCAGCGGCTTTCTCCTCTAGCAACTCTCAGTTTTAAAATCAAAAAACAACTATGTTTTTCCTCTTTTATTCTCTGTTTTTTCAGGTGCCATCAAGCCTTTTCATACTTTGTTTGATATCTGAATTGATTTTTATTGTTAATTATGCATTGAATTCAATTTGTGCTCTGATTTTTTGTTTCATTTTCAATTTTGGGTCTTTGAAATTGAGACTTTAGATTTGTAGATTATTCAGATGTTCACTACGGAAGAAGGGGACAGAGAAGAAGGGGTTGGGTCTGTTCTTGAAGAAACAGATTGAAGGTATTAGGGTCTTTTATTATTTCTGTTAACGGTGTTAACATTGCATTTTAGTCATGGGGGTTATGTGTCTATTTTTAAATTTGAGGGAGGTAATGTGAAAAACGACTTAACCACAGGGAGGTAGAGTTGTTTGCCCCCCCCCCCCCCCCCCCCCTTTTTTTTTGGGATATTGAAAAGATAAGGGGTGGGGGCAAGGAAGAGTGTCCAGCGACCACCCCAATAGACCCTCATCGGTGGAATCATAAGCCCCCCGACCGCATCTGGAACACTTTTCGGGATCAGACCTAACTAGGCTAGCATAACGGCCAACTACCAAGCTCCAATGGGGACTCTAAGACTCAAACTCCCAACTTCAAGGTGAGGAGTAAGACCGATACTCCACTAGACCACCCTACTTGGTGGTGTATATTACATATCAAATCAAATCAAAATTATATCTTAATTATTTGGGATTGCTTCGTAAGCGATTTGGTAAAGATGTTATGTTATCTGTAATCTTCAAGTACAAGTAGTATTACTCGAATTCAACGAGTACAAGTAGTATTATTCGAATTCAACGATTACAATGAAATCAGATCTTAAGTTAGTAAATTATGTCGAATTTTTAAGTTCAAATAACAAACTCGTGATTAATTATTGGTATAATATTATTATATTAAAAATAATGGAGAATTACATTCAGACCCCTTGAAGTTTATCACTTAATTACTCAGACCCCTGACATTTGAAATATTATACACAGACCTCCTAAGATATGTGCGCGCATAACACTTAGACTCGTTAATATATCTATTAGTAACCCAGACCCTCGAAAGTGTGTAGGCATATAATAGTTAGACCACTCAAGTTTAAAATGTTGTATTTAGACAAAAAATATTTCAATCAAAGATAAAATATCAAATATTTTAAATTTTACAACTAAAATTCATATTCGATTTTATAATTTATTAAAATAAAATAAAAAATAAAAATCTAATTTTTTTAAAAAAAATATATAATTTAGTAAACAATTATACTATCTATAATTAGTATAATTCAGGGGGTCAGTGAAATTTACCCTTTTCAATTTGCTGGGTTCATTCTTGAAATAGGAAGGAAGGGCTAACATAAAATCTTTACCGAATCGCTTAAAGAATTAATCCCAAATAATTAAAGATAAACCTAGATTTGTTTTGATATGTGATAATTTTAAAAAATTGAAAGATAATCTTTCTCTCTCTCACACACAATTATTTATTTGAATCAAATTGCTCATGAAGAACGGAAGGATTAAGACATGAAGTTGAGAACAGCAAAACAAAGAGTGGGTATCAATGACCTGGCCTCCAAACTTCTTTTGATGGGGGTGTCTATGTCTCAACATGCAAATTGCAATGCAGACCTATAATAATCTCACTTGAAAAAATCTTATGTGGTAATAGAATATCAATCCACTGATCCAACGAGAAAGATTTTTGTATATTAGTGCAATCTAAAGTAAGCTTTAACTCGAGTTCAACTAAAATAAATGATCGTGAGTTTTGTTTGAGTTGAACTCAAGTAAGAATTTAAAAAATCAATTAGGCGTAGTTAGATCAAATCATCCTTGATTTTCTAAAATTCTTGTCAATCAAGAAGTCAATGGATCAATCCTTGTCAAAGAAAAATATTAATTTTTTAAGGGTTTTGCTCTCTCACATGCTATAAAATTATTATTTAAAAAATTCCAAACCAATCTATAAAAAAAATTTTTACACATTTAAATCCAAAGTAATCACCAATAAAATAAATAAAAAATTCAAATATTTATATGATTTTATAGAATGGGAAAATTCACCCCCGAGCCAGCAACCAATACTATCAAAACACAGCCACCACCCCACACCCTTCCCGCCTAACGACTACTAACCACCTGCCCATCTTGCACATTAGGTACCTGTTGAAATGCCTAATACACCATCACACCCGCCCTTTTCCCTTCTAATGACTACCAGCCACCTGCCGATCTTGCACATTGGGTATTTGTTGAAATGCCTAATACACTATGACACCCGCCCTCTTCCCCCCTAACGACTATTAATGTAATTTTTGTTTGTGGAATAAGTAGTCGATTTTGCTATCCACACTAATATCCTTCATATATTGTTTTTATAGCGGTCTTCTAATTTGTATGTCTTTTAATTTTGACTTTTTTTGTTACATATTGCTTTGAGTCACGTACAATTATCAACGTGTATATATGTGTATGTGTGTGTATATCCGCGATGGGTTGATGACAATATAATATAAAAGTCAAACAATGGACATACACAGCTAGCCTACTTTTTAAGACCTTACAGTATGGGTTTGGGCCTCTCTTCCCTCCCTATAAATACAGGCAATATTAGAAACTTCAGTCACATAACCATTTGCTTTGCATAACTACTACTACTTGAGAGAGAGAGAAAGAGAATGAGAATGGGAACCATGATCAGCAGCAGCAGTAAGGTTATGATC